TTCAAGGAGATTTAAAAAACTGCAAAATTTCTATAGGTCAAAGAGGTATTTTTCTGTTCATGTATTTCTTAAACAGATAACAGAGAGGACCAAATCACTATGCTTATATTTCACTGGATAAAATTAAGAGTGATGCAACTTTTATTTTTAAATGTCATATACAAATATGCCAAAAATTAAATCATTTGCAGCTATTTAAATGTAAAATAGAAATGATACATTTAATTTTAGATCTCGACTGAAACAGTGGGGATACATCATTCTACAAATTATTTTAAGAGGCCAAGTGCGCCTGTATTCCCACCACTTTGGGAGGCTGAGGCGGGAGGATTGCTTGAATGCTGAAGTTTGATAACAGCCTGGGCAACAAAATGAGACCTCATCTTTACAAAAAAATTAGCAAGGCATAGTGGCACATGCCTGTAAGTCCTAGCTACTCGGGAGACTGAGGCAGAAGGATTGCCTGAGCCCAAGAGGTAAAGGCTGAGGTGAGCCATGATCATGTCACTGCACTTCAGCCTAGGAGACAGAGAGAGACGACAACTCAAAAAAAAATTTTTTTGTAAGGAATACTAATCTAATAAATATGTTTAAGAATAATATGCTAATGGATCCACACAAAGTGAAAATAGAATGGAATTTCCATCATGGTTAATCTATCTCAACACACTTAACTGATTTCAGCACATTCTCCATCAACTATCTACAAACAATATGCTCAGATGCTAGACTTTGGCAGATATTATGTAATATATCATTAAATAATGCCTTTTGCTTTCCTGTTCACTTGTATATCTACATTAGTTACCACTCATGTTTCCTGGTTTTTATTACCTCCTTTCTGTTTTTCCCATCATGAACATACTTTCTTTTTTTTTTTAAAGCAGGATTTATTGAGAGGATAGAAAAGCTCCCAGAGTAAGAGGGGACCCGAAGGGGTTACCCATGAACATACTTTCTAATGCTATTTTGATTCTCAGTGTTTCCAAGGACTCAAGCATGATACAGCTGGCTGGGGGATAGATCTCTAGAATTCCTATTTATAAGGCTTAAGCCTCTAACAGCTTAAAAGTTTTCTGGATTGATTTCTACAAATAAATGTTTTATTAAAGCTTTTTCGTCTCTCAAAATAGACATGGGGAAACGGTTCTCTGCTCTAGTCACATACTACCTCCCTAATATATGTTGCATATTTTTATTATACCCCATTTCACCACAGTGGGAAATTGTAAAAAAAAAAATTCAAGTATATTTAGGTTGATAAAATACCTAAATGATACTCATTTAAATATTATTTGATGACAAAGTATAGATTGTGTAGACACTGACTAAAAGATGGGTTATCCAATTTGTTAAAGTAACAATAAATTACTGAAGTACTTCTTAAGAGATATTATTTAAAACACAATCACAGCCAGGTTTGGTGGCTCAGCCTGTAATCCCGCGCCTTGGGAGGCTGAGGTGAGTGGATTGCCTGATCCCGTGGGTTCGAGACCCGCCTGGGCAACTTGGCGAGACCTCATCTCTACAATAAATCAAAAAATTAGCCGGGCGTGGTAGCACACGCCTGTAGTTCCAGCTACTTGGAAGGCTGAGGCGGAAGGATTGTCGGAGCCCAGCAGGTCGAGGCTGCCGTGGCTAGGAGCGGCCACTGCACTCCAGTCTGGGCGACAGAGTGAGACTCCAACTCAAAAACAAAAGAAAACACAATCACAAAGTAAAATCTTTTGATACTTTACTCAATAATTGTTAAAAAATATTATTGAAAATTGCTACAACCTTTGGTCACGGAATCTAGGTTATGTTTCTCATCTAAATTCACTTTTTCTAGTTTTATTAAGGTATAATTGACATAAAAAATTTTGATGAGGTTGGACATCTGCATGTACTTGGGATAATGTCACCACAAGCAAGGTGCTAAACATTCCCATCACCTCAAAAACGTTCCCTGTGTTCTTTTGTGAGTTCTTTTGTTTGTTTTGTTTTGTTTTTATTAATGTTCCCCTTTTATTTGGATTTGGTAAGAACATAACATGAGATTCATCCTCTTAACATATTTTAAATGCACAATATTGTATTGTTAATTATAGGTACTTGTACAGCAGACACCTAGACTCATTCATCTTACATAACAGAAATTTTATACCATTGAAAAACAATTCCTCATTGTTCTCTCCCTCTAGTCCCTTACACCATTCTATTTTCTGCTTCTATGAATCTGACTATTTTAGATATCCCATATAAGTGGAATCTTATTGTGACTGGCCTTATTCCACTTAGCATCATGTCCTTAAGGTTCATGCATGTTGTGACATATGGCAGGATTTCCTCTTTTTAAAGGCATACTAGCATTCTGTTGTGTGTATGTATCACATTTTCTTTATCCATTCATCTGTCTATGTACATTTAGGTGGTTTCCATGTCTTGGCTAGTATAAATAATGTTACAATGAACATGAACGAGTAGATATTTCTTCAAGATCCCAATTTCAATTATTCTGGCTCTAATCCCAGAAGTGGGATATCTGGGTCATATGGTAGTTCTATTTGTAGTTTTTAAAGAAACCTTCATACTGTTTTCCACAGTGGCTGTACCATTGTGCAGTCCCACCAACAGTATGTAAGGTTTTCAATTTCTCCACATCACCAATACTTGTTATCCGTTGTTTTTTTGATAATAGCCATCCTAACATGAGGCTAAACTTACTTTTGAGTTGAATGTTAAGTGGACTAAATGATGATAAATAAAAAGAAACTTGAAACACAAGAAATAAATCAAAGCAATAAATCATCAATGAGCATGCTCAGGAGCTTCTCTCCTTAAACTCTGCTGAGACACATAATTTGAGAATCAAATTTGGTGCCAATACTTCCCTTCATGCTTCCAAAGATAATACTAGTTTTCTTGGATCATCTCCAACCAAACAATAAAATTAAAATATGGCCAAGAAACCACCCTCAAACAGCAGTATTTTTTAATGGCTGATGTTGGGTGAGAAAATGTACTGGGAATATAAAAGAACAAGAATAATAATTTTTTTTCAGATGGAGAAAGAATGATAAAAACATAGTGAGTAAAGGAAATTTAAAAGAAATCACTGACTAAATTCCCCTATGCAACTAATGCAGACTCTTCCCATCTTCCTCCACTATCCCATATTTCAAAAACTGAAAACCTGTGTCACAAATAAAAGACTAATTGACCATAGACAATAGGAATTGCAACAAGGCCCAAAAGTGAACAGTAAATTGAAGTAGTATCTCAGTAAACAAAAATAAACTTTGAATTAAAAGTTTAGCCAGGTGCAGTGGCTCAGTCTGTAATCCCAGTACTTTGGGAGGCTGAGGCAAGAGGACTGCCTGAGCCCAGGGGTTCGAGACCAGCCTGGGCAACATGGTGAGACCTTGTCTCTACAATAAATCACAAAAATTAGCCAGGTGTGGTGGCATGCATCTGTAGTTCCAGCTACTTGGAAGGCTGAGGTGGAAGGATCGCCTGAGCCCAGCAGGTCAAGGTTGCAGTGGCCATGAGCGTGCTACTGCACTACAGCCTGGGCGACAGAGTGAGACTTCAACTAAAAAAAAAAAAAAAAGTTTACAAAAAAATTTTCAGAACTTTTATTAAAATGTAAAACGTTTTTAAGAAATAAACATGTATTTGATGTAGAAATAACCAAATTGGTTGATCAATAATTAAGATATAGATATTATAGATATTAATTGATGAAATATAAATTAAGGATATATTTTTACATTTTATTTTATCTTGTTATTTGAATCAAGGTCTCACTCTGTCACTCAGGCTGGAGTATAGTGGCACAATCACAGCTCACCACAGCCTTGACTTCCTAGACTTAGGGGATCCTTTCGCCTTAGCCTCCTGAGTAGCTAGGACTATAAGCATATGCCCCAACATCCAGCTAACTTTTTGATTTTTGTTGAGACAGAGTCTCACTATGTTGCCCAGACTGATCTCAAACTTCTGGGCTCAAGCAATCTTCTTGCCTCAGCCTCCCTAAATATTGGGATTATAGGCATGAGCCAACACAGCCAGCCAAGGATATATTTTAAATCCAAATTACTATTAGTAATCTACTATGAGCTAGGCAACTTATATGTGTATTAGCTTAAATTTCATAACTCTCTAAGTTATAACAGTCTCTATTTTTTTGTAATTCCAAAATCAGCACTTAAGATACTTCCACAGTCATTCAAAATATACGCAGAGCCAGAAAAACTTTGAATTGCCCAGCTGAGGTCTAATAGGAGATAACCTGCCTTCTTTTCACATTCTATTCAGTGCCACGTTTTTCTCACTCTAGCTCATGGCTGAATGAAGTTTATCTAACATACCCGTTTTCCCCATAAGTTATATCATAGCCTTTTTGTGCTTAGGAACACTACACAACACTTCAGTACAACAAATGGAGACCATTTAAAACAGTGAAATCACCAACAGAAAAGCACAGAAATGCAGGGAAAAAAAAAAAAACGGGGAGGGGGGCACTAAATAGATTGCTAAAAAGGACAATTATTTACAAATATGAGAGCTGAAACAAAAATTTGGAGCATTGACCTCAGCTCTAGGAGCAGCATCTCAGCATTAGCTAATTCAGTGTCCACAGTGACTTTATAAGCACCATGCATCATGGGAACCAATGGTAATTTCAATTACTCTAGTCCCTAGAGGGCCTCAGTGTTAAAATGTAAATCACAGAGAAAAGGTTAACCGATAGAAGCTGACTGAAGCAGTATTGTGACTATTTAGAGTTACCAGATTATTTTGTGATAAGATAAAAAACTACATTTCTTATGTGACAATATTTCTTGTGAGAAGATAAGAAGGTTTGAATAGTCTATCTTTTGAAAAGTTTCCTTATAATTCTGGATCAAATCAGCTAATTGATACTAATTTTTGGTAAGAAATAACTCATTAGAATAAGTGTAAAAAACTACAGAAATGTTATCAGTAACCATCCCAAACCATCAAGTTTTCCTTACTTATAGCCAAGCTGTCGACAGATCACAGCTGCATCCTTATCAGTCCATCCGTCATCACAGATTGTTCCCCATTGGCCATTGATAAAAACCTCCACTCGTCCTTCTTTCTTATTTTCTCCATCCATCAGTCTGACAGGAAAACCTGTCATGATTCAAAAGTGTTAGTAAAGCCAAAAGAAGCAAACTGATACTAAAGCATGAGAGACTTTACAATATACAGTTGTGCTTTTAAATCAGACGGCAATACTTTTTTTGAGAGAGACACAGAGAGATATCAGTAAAAAATTGTATCCACTTTTGTAACATGTTTTGAAGCCTGTAAGTCACAGTGCTTGCTCAACTTACTCAACTTTGAATACCCCACATGTGGAACAAGTGCCTGGCATATAAGGACAGGCAATTGTTGTTTGTTGAATAAATGAATGAATAGCACTATACAATTGTAATGGTTACAACTAACTTCTAAATAGTAAAATAGCATTAACTTGAGGTTGTTTTTGTTTTGCGTCTATTCATTTATTCATGCACATAGCTAGAAAGTCATACTCCAAAGCTAAGATTTTTAGGAAGACATAGACAGACACAGCCTTGGCACACGTGGGTCTAATGCTGGAGGAAACAAACAAACAAAAATAAGAAACAAAAGCAGAAGAAAGAAAGGCAGGCAACTAATAGGGACAATTTCCATCTAAAGCTTTCGACTTACTATTGCTTCCAAGAAAAGGACTTAAAAGTCATCAAAATTACTAAGATTTAAAATACAACCACACCAATAAATACAGTGACGTTTAAATAAGTAAAGCTCCTCACTGTGACTTGCATACAGTCATAGGTAGAATTGTGAGGTCTTAGGGTGGGCTCTATTCCGATATGACTGGTGTCTTTATGAAAAGGAAAAATGTGGACAGAGATACACACAGGAGGAAACTGATGTGAAGAGATATGGGGGAGACTGCCATCTATAAGCCAAGGAGAAAGGCCTGAGCATATCGACCCCTCTAAGCCCTTTCCTCACAGCTTCTCCTAAAGGAACCAACTTTACTGACATCCTGATTTTGGACTCTAGCCTCCAGAACTGTGCAACAAAAAATATCTGTTAAGCACCCAGTCTGTGGAACTTTGTTACAGCAACCCAAGCAAACTAATGCTTTTTTGCTATTGGTAAGCAAGTGCATAGAGTTGGCGCATTTGTTGGTTTTGACTTTGCTATATGACTTTGCTATACGATTCTGTGATGTTTCCTGTTCCATGAAGTGAACATGATCAAAGATAGAAGACAGGCAGTAACAATTCTGGGGGCAAAAAAAGAAAGAAGAGAAGTAAAATTATCAGGAGAACTAAGGAGATAAAAGTAAGCAGCTAATAAACAAAATACCATTTAATATGTTTAAACCAACTTGTAAAATTACTAAACTGACATCTTTTAGCTAAAAGGAACTATTGCAGGCAAGATGGACATATTCTACCTTTATTCCTCTGACCCACTGTTACTTCTCTTCTTTCTTTTTTTGCCCCCAGAATTGTTGACTCCCTGTCTTCTATCTTTGATCATGTCCACTTCATGGAATAGGAAACATCACAGAATCATACAGCAAAGTCAAAACCAACAAATGCTTAGGGAGCGCCAACTCTATGCACTTGCTTACCATTAGCAAAAAAGCACGGACTTTCAGCTATGTCATAAAACACAATATTGAAACTTTACATTTCTTATGAATGTATCTGAAAGTTGGGGTTCTCTGCAAGAAGGGTAAAGTGAAAAAGTGATCCTCAAAGAATAATTCAAACAGAAAAAACTCCTTTCTTAAAGTTTTACCTTTTTACATTTTTGGTTCAGAATTAAAAATATATATATTTTCACATGGAATTAGACCCCCATGTTCCATTTTAGTAATTTTATAGGTAGTTTTTCATAAACTCAAAAAAATGATAAAGTGTTTTTAAACTCTAAGTTGCATGCTTTGTAAAAATAACACATACAATATTTCTGAATCTAATTTTAGCCATTCGTTTTATAACTTATTGAAATTTCAACTCTTTAAGAAAAATTGAATGACAAGTCATTCTAGTCATATCCTCTCACTATTTAAGGTCTCATAATGGAAATAATAATATACAACATGTTTTATTTCCAAAATCTTAAATAAATATAAAACGTTTAGGAAAATTAAACAATCCTATGGGTATATAGTATCTTTAATTATCGATCTCACCCTGATTTCCAGTAGTTTTCTTCATTTTTTTCTATAACATTGATATGATACATTATTTTTAGGAAATAATAATCTTCTAGAAAAATAATATCTAGCATAAATGCAAATTAAAAGTCTAATTTTATACTATAAAATTGAGTAAGAGGCAACCTCATTGAAAAAGAAATCTTGATTAGGACTTTATATATATATTTTTTTGAGTTGGAGTCTCACTCGGTTGCCCAGACTGGAGTGCAGTGGCCGCTCCCGGCCACCGCAGCCTCGACCTGCTGGGCTCCGGCGATCCTTCCGCCTCAGCCTTCCTAGTAGCTGGAATTACAGGCATGCGCAACCACGCCCGGCTGATTTTTTGATTTATTGTAGAGATGAGGTCTCGCTGCCCAGGCGGGTCTCAAACCCGCGGGCTCAGGCAATCCACTCACCTCAGCCTCCCAAAGGCGTGGGATTACATGCTGAGCCACCGAGCCCGGCAGGACTTAATATTATGAAGTTTATAATTAATGGAATGTTAAAGTGAGAAATCCACATATTTACCATCCCAGAAATTTCCCCCAACTCACATAGGCATTAAACTGCATTCTTACTAGAATTTCTTTTACTGATCTAGAATATTGCCTTTGAGCATTCCACCTACCATAAACCCAAAGTGATTATAGAAGTGATTATAGAGCTTTAAGTAATTTTGAGAAGAGTTTCATTCACATTTAAAGTTAAAGTCCAGAAGTTCTCCTTCAAGTTAGTTGAAAACAGCAGTAGTCCAATAGTTCATTATCGTAGTGCCAAAAAGGTAAAAAAAGATTTATTTTTGTTTCTTAAAAGTTATTATTTATATCATTATTCCATGATCTCCTTTTCTAAGCTTCCCTTTTAAATATACAGCATTTTTAAATATTATAATCTACTTGAATGAATAAATGGTAATATGATTCTATCCCAAAAGTATATTTGGCTCAGACATAAAGTTCAGACAAATGAACTTAGTTAATAGACACATTACTGAGATTAGAATCAAAGAGATTCATAATACTGATCACATATTTTATTAATAATTATGACCCTCAGTCTTTTAAATTTTCAAAAAATATATCTAGTCTCCTAAAATTAAAAAGATTTTCTGAGGAATTTAAAAGATTAGTTAATCTAACCATATGATATATTTAACAACACAGACCTTCAGAGAACTGAAATCACATAGTATTTTGTCTCTGGGAGTACTGATGGAGCATGTCTGGATAAGTATGAATAAATAGCATGTCTGTGATCTTAAAACATGCTATCTAGGGCCATGATGATCCATTTTAAGCAAACGGGTTCTATCTCCCCCTACCACATGCAGTAGTTCACTACATAATCCTGAGAGGATCATAAAACCTCCATAAGCAGGGGGCAAGGGAAAAGAACAAAAGAAAAGAAAAGAAAAACTGGAAATATGACCTGCAAGGAATGCAATTAAAAAGTGTATTTCCTCTAGAATAATGCTAGATTAGTGCAGTGAGTCACCATGATCTCATACTTTAGAGTACAATGAGGAATCAACCATATACTTTGACAAACTTAAAGTATGTAATACGATCAATACTGTGGGATTCAACAAATTATATTATTTTTATAATGTGAAGATATCAGCCTCACAGTCTCAAAACGGGAGGATGTAAAGGGGTTGATTCCATCCTGAGGTTCAAAGTAAAGACCATCTATGGCTATTTTAACATCTACACACACACACACACACACACACACACACACACAGAGAGAGAGAGAGAGAGAGAGAGAGAGAGAGAGAGGCATATTTATTCTGCTTTCTTGTCAAACATTAAGAAATTTGTCAAGAATGTTTAAACATTTTCTGACTTCAAATGGCTCTTTACTCATAATTATTTCAAGACTGATAGAGGAGCTAGTTACTTTTTATCCAACTACAAGTCTAAAAAGTATTTGTACCCACGCATCGTGGTACATGCCTGTAGTCCCAGCTACTTGGAAGGCTGAAGTGGGAGGACTGCTTGAGCCCAGGGGTTTGGGGCCGGCAACATAGCAAGACCCTGTTTCTACAAATGAAACAATACAGTAACAATTTTGTAACTAGAGAGTAACAAAGGTCCCTGATGGGTTTCTAAAATAATAGGGTATCTTAGAAAGATAAGTGGGTTATTAACTTCAATTAATCCACTTAGAAGCCCACTTGAAAGACCAATGGACATGCCATTGACCAATGATTGGCAAGCCCTCAGGACTAGAGAAGAAATAAATCATGAGACAGAGAGAGGGAATATTCTTTTACTTTTTTATTCTGCTCCAAATAGCTCATTAGAATTCAAGGTAAATGAAAATCTGAATAGATGACCAAAGAGTAAGGAAATAGATAATGCAGCTTATTTGTTCCGTCTTTCATATACACGTGATTATAAACATTTTTAGTGAGAAACTTAGTGTTCTAGGTAAAGAAAAAATAAATTTAAGAGCAGAAATTTTGGTAGGGAGACCCAAAAGATTATTTCCCTCTGCATAAAATTTACTGAAAATTTGACAGCTGAGGGAAATAGACTAAGAAAAAAAGACCAAAGGTAAGAAATGCTTCACATTCCGGACCAGTGGTTAGAGATGTGGTGGCTACTGAATTATGGGAACTCGAGAGTTGTACCGAGTCCTCACCCAGAGAGAGTCTGTGTCCATCGCTGCCAGGGTAGCAGGCAATTCCAACATCTTCCCGATGGCTGCAGTCATGCCTTCCCCATTGTCTCCTGGAACACTGAAGAAAGCTGGTTTCCTTTCCTGAGCAGCTGACATCATCCAACCATATGGGCCCTGTGCTTTCTTCAAAATGGTTTGCAGAGGCTTGTTTACCATATCTGTGACAATTAGATAAACACTGGGTATAGAACTGCTGTCATAAAAGAAACAACCTAGTGAAGTGTCATGACTTCACAGTATAAGTATTTACTCTTTCTCCCACCGTGGGGATTTGGTTCTAAAAGCTAGGTTCGCTCCATTACACATTTTGATCATCTAAACAATTTTTGATCATTCCAATGGGTAACTAAGGAATCATTAATCATTTTCCCAATTCATTCTTGTGTTCTGTCTACATTTAACCCGCCAATCAGGAAGAATGCAAACAAAGAGATATGCCTCAAATTCCTGATCAAAGAGGTAACACTGTGAACCAGAAAGTAAGAATGCTTGGCTCCTTTTAGCCTCTGATGAGCCATCTGAGCTCATTTGATTTCATCAGCTTCTCTAGACCTCTTTGGCATCTTCTTCTTTAAAATGAAAAGTGTGGATTAGTTCACTGATTACTCAAGCACTGTACCCAATTCATGATGAAAATTAGATTTCAGGCCATAAAAATCAGAATGACAATGACCTCAGCTTTTTGAAGATGGATAAATTCAACTTTTTAAACTCTTATAAATTATATTTGTGTTCAGATTGACTTTATTTGTAACACTGTACCACAAAAGAAAACTAAATGTATTATAATATATATGTTGCAGAAATAGGAAAGATCCGTAGAAGTTTTTTTTAATTGATAATTAAGCTAGTCTGTACCTTCTTTCATCCTTTCTCCAATTTTGTTTCATAAAATCCAAACCTCCAGAAATCACTGACCTTAAAGATCTTTAAGATGTCTGAAATCCAACTCTAACGCACAGCAATCATTTCCCTCACTTGGTGTTTTTATCCTTTCTGTACTAAGAATATGAAGAGCTCTTTCTATCTGGCATGAATTTTCTTAATTTTTTCCTATGCAAGTATTTATTAAACTTATGTAATAAATTAATATTTGAATAAATTAAAACAATTAAACTTTTGATTAATCATTATATAGCTTTTTTTCCTGTTTTGCTGACTAATCAACCTTAGCTAGAAAAGTAATTAAGTTCCATATTGCTGGCATTTTCAATGTCTATATCATTTTCCGCAATTTATCAATCTGATAAACATCTGTCTATATCAACTAAACAACAGACAATAGGATGTCATTTTACTTTGGAACTACATTTGTACTAAGAAACCCAAAGTTTAACCATTTTCTCATTCTAAAAGAATAGTCTTTCTAAAAAATACCTCTGTCAACTAAATGTCGCACACTCTTTTAGTACTTTCTAACACAATCATTTAGAAGTTTTGTTACTCACTACTGAGAACATTTTTAGAACCAGTAAATTTGGATACTTTGTGCCTGAATTTGTGAACATAAATAAATAAAATATGGAGAAACATGGTGCTGTTTTCATCAATAAGGAAAAATGTGAAAATAAGTAGAAATAACAGGATTTATTACTCTCCAAATCTGTGAAAACAGGATACAGTTGGCAGTCTAACAGAAATTCACTTAAACATAAAATGACAATTATTAAGTAATCCTCATTAATTAAATGTCAATATACTGTATTTATTTGGTTGTTATATATCTATTATCTATCATCTATCCATATATCTACTATCTATCTATCTAATCTAATCTCTATCTACCTATGTACCTACCTACTTGCCTACCTACCTGTATATGGAAGTAATGGAAGCATCACAGTGAAAAACAATGGCATTTTCTAAGATTATGAGTTACCACCTCTTGTTATTTATCTCATTTATGTCAAATAGCCCTCAAACCAATAATTATAGTAACTACTCTGTCCAAAAATAGTCAAAATATAGGGCAATTATGTGCTTAATTACATTTTCATGATAGCACCATTTATAATAGGAAAAACTAAACTAACCTAAATCTCAAGTAAATTATGGTATGAAAATTTGATAGAATTATGACTATGATGCAATACATAGGTTAAAAATGTGGATACAAAAATTATGTCTACTACTAGAGCTGCATAAAGTTATGCACACAAATTATAATAATCATGGTATAAGGATGGAAAATTATGGAACTTTTATTTTCACTGTTTTCCAACTGTTTTACATTACTTTTATGCATATTAAAATGTATGTGTAAACATGGCTTTGCCTAGCTTGGGTGAAAGCATATTTTTAAGGTATAGTGAATATTTGCAATTAGCTTTAATCATGCTGAAATAAAATAATTTTGCTAGATTTTTTTCAGGCATGAGACAATGACTTCAAGCATGACAGAAATATGGAAAACAAGAAAAAAAATAGTCATTCTTAGGCTTCATTAAAATACTTAACTCAAAGGCATCATTTTTTGTTACTTCAACCAACTTAAGTCTTTACTCTGGAATGCATTATGTGTGTGACATAAAATATATATCCCAATATGTGATACTCAACTTTTAAATAAGTAAGGTCAAAGGCGAATTCTAAAGGTCACTTCATGACAAAAAGGCTGTTTTTCTCAAATAAAAGTAATAATTACCATCATATTCTGAAAAGGGGAATAACATAATACCAAAGCATTTGACATGAACTTCTTTGCAATTTGGGGCACAGAGATGTCAAAATTAACAACATCCAACAGTAGTGATGCAGCAGAATAAAATTAAGCATTCAAAGTCTTACTTGAATCAACATAAAGAAACCGATAAGTTACTCATAGCATCAACTGATTATTCAAGAAGAGAGGTCATAGCAGGAAAGGTAAATGAGATAAATAGAAAGAGATGGTTATTCATCATCTTAGAAAATGTCACTGTTTTCCACTGTTATGTTTCCATATATAGGTAGGTAGGTAAGTAGGTGGATAGAGATTAGATAGATTAGATACATAGACAGACAGATAGATCTATGATATACAGATAGATAACAGATTAGCTCGATACTATGTATTTTTAGTATTACAGAAGTTACAAATACGGATTACACAATAAGACTTTTAAATAAATAACCTGGCATTTAGCTGCCTTATGTCAATGAGTCTTACTTAAATCCCAGCTGCCGACAAACCACGTATGTATTCAGCTCAGTCCAGCCATCATCACAGACAGTCCCCCACTGTCCCCTGTAATACACCTCCAAATGACCCTCATGGCTGCCTTTCCCGCCTGCAAGTCTGATGACCCCATCTGTGATAAGAAGGAGACACAGAGACTAAGCAAATCAGCCATCAAAAAAAGTAAAACATTTTCATTTCACAAGAAATATCACCATTTTTGAACCTCCTTCTAGGCCTTGTGTTAAACTTATATTACATCTATGCTCAATGACTTGAAGTTATTACTTGCTTCTAAAGTTTGACATAACACATTACTGTCAATAAAATATCTTTCCTTTTTATTTATACTCCTATCTGAGTAGTAAAATATATTCTGATATAATTTCAAGGTATCTACATATTTAGATTTCTCTAGGTTAAATATTTGAGAAATTTCCTATAACTTCAGGCTCAAATCTAAGCAATACTGGTTATCTAAATTTAAAAGTAAGAAAATACAATAGCTTGGAAAGTTCAAAATTTTAACAGCAAAAACATATATATATATATATATATATATATATATATATATATATATATATGGAAATAGGAAGACAGAAAAAACTATTCTGGGTAAAGGACAATCTGTCATGTCAATGCATTTATTATTCCTTCGTCATTCATGAATTATAAAAACTGGAAAAATGTCTGGTCTTTGTTCTTTTATTGGTAATACAGATCTGAATTAAAATCTTATTAATTCAATGAATAATTAATTCCCTGAGAATTCTATAAAGAGCTTCAAGCAGATACATAGTTGAATTCCAAAAAAAGTAGATTTGAAAGTCATTTCCATCCAAAGTAATCCAAACACCCACCCGCCCATGAAACATGCAAATAATCCTGGGTAAAGGTCACACTTTACATGAATCTCTGGATTCTTTTAGAGTAAATACTTGTCTTTTAGCAATAGGAACATTTATTAACATAATGCTTTCCTGTCAGCAAAGCACTGGGACATGCATTACCTCATCTGATCATCACTTCTATGCTATGAAACTATGCTCCGTCGAAAGAGAGAAATGGTGGCTCAAGCAGCTGAAGTGCTCTGGCTTAAATTCTGGCATAAAGTATAGATTTCTATTGTGTTAATCTTCTAATAAAAACAACAGCATGCACAGACATATGTCAATTAAAAGACGTATGTCACATATGACATAGACATATGTCAATATTTCTTAGGCACAAAGAAGTTATTCTTTTGATTTTTATTAAAGAATGATTTAAACAACAAAAAAATGTTTTTCCAGTTTTTTTTAACCAATTGCTTTGTGATGACTCAACTTCTCTGGCCTCATCCATTGCCTTTTTCCCCCCTAAACATTCAAGTACACACACACACACCAGTACGCACTCAGACATGCCCCTCTTATAACACATGACACATTTTGACAGGCATGTTGCAATTTGGCATAGTGTGAAAATTGGGCAAGCAAAGTTAACTTTGTTTCCTTAATAGTGTGCTTTATTTATTTATTTATTTATTTATTTATTTGAGTTGGAGTCTCACTCTGTCACCCAGACTGGAATGCAGTGGCCGCTTCCGGCCACCACAGCCTCGACTTGCTGGGCACCGGCGATCCTTCCACCTCAGCCTTCCAAGTAGCTGGAACTACAGGTGTGTGCAACCATGCTTGGCTAATTTTTTATTTATTGTAGAGATGAGGTCTCACCAAGTTGCCCAGGCAGGTCTCAAACCCGCGAGCTCAGGCAATCCACTCACCTCGGCCTCCCAAAGCGCAGGATTACAGGTCGAGCCACCGAGCCCGGCTAATAGTGTGCTTTAATCAACAATTATATCAATACAGTTTTACCAGTTTTAAACACATTCTGACAATCATGACAGACGAATAGATGAATAGACTAAAAATGTACTTAGTATACCTAACATCTGAAATTTATCTCTGCACACTAATTTTGATTATTAGTTACCATACATTGCAACAAAGTCATATTTTCTGATCTAATTTGATAGGACTATATAGCCTTAAATTGAAAAAAGTCAGAAAGATCTATGAATGAGAAATAGCATTGTAATAAACAATGTTTTGGGGGTTTTTTGTTTTGTTTTCTTGTTTTTAGTTTTATTTGGCAGATTTATTTGTATGCTCATTTGGTAGTGTCATTGAAAAGAAGGGAAGTCGTGGCAAGCCCAAATGGTACTAGGGGTAGGAGTTAATATATTAATGGGGTGAAATCCTTACCTATTAGAGGGGTACAGGACACTCCAGCATCTTCTTTATGGCCACAGTTATGCTCTCCCCAGGAACTCTTCGGACATTGCTCAATTGACAGCTCATTCCCAGTGCAGCGTACTTCATCCAACATTACTGGGCCAGATCCTTCCCCAAAATATGCCTGATTCCATGCTTTGGCAATGCCGCTGAACAAACATAAAAACACAAGGATTCTGAACGACCCATCAAAGGTTGGCCTGACTGAATTCTTTTGCCCCCGTTGAAAGCATAATTATTAATCCCTTCTTATCAATTCACTTCATAGGTCATGTGTGACTCTCTGTATTTCTTTTTTGTTTGTTACTTTTTGTATTTTCAGCCATTGCACATGTTTCAAAGACTGCCACGTATTCTCCAGTATTTATCCTCCTTTCTTCATTAGTAATGAAAGCCTGGATTTTTAGAAGGACAATGGCTATCCAGAATAAAGTTGGAGGAAGTTCATTTGTTTGTTTATGGTGAAATACATATAACATAAAATTTACCATTTTTAAGTGTACAGTACATTAAGTACCTTCACATTGTCATACAATTATCAATATGATCCAGCTCTAGAACTTTTTCATCAACTCAGAAGAAAATCTTCTACCCATTTTAGACAACTAAATTTTTCCCAAAGAGACTTACGTGGAAGTGTCATGTAATACTCCTAGCAAGTATCCTTGTTTCACTTCTTTCCTGCTGATATAATTATCAGGCAGAGGTGATAGCTAGGGCTTGAGTAGCTATTTAGGCCATAAGGTGCCATACCTATTGCCACAGCCAAACCTATTTTTAACAAAAAACATCTCTTCATTAAAGTTTATTTGTAGCAACTTTACTTCTCCCACAATGTGAAGTGATAACCATATTCTTAGACCCCCCAGATTTCAGTGAAGATCATAATCATCTGTCAAAATGATTAATAACTTCAGAAATTACATTAAAAATGGCAACCCTTTTAACCTTTCACTTTTTAGTACATTTATATATTTAGTTTGTTTTTCCATAATACTGAATATATTCCCCATTATTTTAATTGCTCTTTTCTCATAACTATCTTGAGAATTTACAACAAAATGACATGGAAGAAAAAAGTTAGCTAAATGATTATAATACCACAGTCATGGTAAAGTCTTGAATTGTCAATTTCATGGTTAAAAAATAGACTGTTTGACTAATTTTACTAGATATTTTATGTTTCTCCTAAAAGAACATGTCTAAAAAATTCAAATGTCTAAAAGTCTTTAAAAATGTCTTTAAAAACCATGAAAGCAAATACTTAGGGAATGTTCCATCATCACCTGACCCACATTCTGATTAAAATTCAGAGAGTTTGCCAAGGGAGCAGATAAAAGAATATTCATAGGAGGAAACATAGAGGAAACTGAGGAAAAGTAGATTGCTTAAGTAGGATATTTTCGTGGAGTTACAATTTTAAAATTTAGAATTCTGACACGTGAATCGCCATCTGATATTTGTGGCACAGTGGACTCCGAGCAGTTTACCCCAACAAAGATTAAAGACTACCATCTAGAGCTAATTGGACACAAGTCTGGAAAACACAACAAAATAATCCTAATGCAAACGATATCATCAAAAGGACTTAATTTTGTGAGTGAATGTGTGTGTTTTGCTAAGGGAAAAGTAATGACTAAACAAAAGGTAATTTCTATTCCTCCAGAAAGAAGTAATAAACGCTCAATTAACAGGATTGTTTCAAATAAAACAGTTTTCAGTTGTTTCAAAGTATGACTATATGCCTACAGAAGAATGCAATTACGTGTAAATACTCATATATTACTGACCATATCAAAAGCTTATTCTTTCCATGCTCAGTCTTTGAAGAAGAGAAGTATATGTGGACACAGACTCTGAAGTTTAAATCCCTTCTTAAAAACAGTTGATAAATAATACATTTGTCACTGCTAAACAATTTATCCAAAGACCGTTTGGTATTTAGTTTGGACAAGCATAGTTTTTGCTTTCTCTCCTCCCCAAAGGTAGAGTTGGGAGAGTGCTGAGGAAGGGAGAATCAATCAATATCTTAACAGTTTCTGGCTTTAATGTTGTAAATGTGTTTTATTTATTTATTTTAAAGTAATTTTAAAAGTAATTTATTACCACCTGATCCACTCCATCTTGTCTGTCCTCCCCTCCTCACCCAGCTTCATGTTTTGACTTGAGTTGCCTGCATGGTTCTAATACATACTCCTTTTATGACATTTCAGGAATTTCCTGACAAAAAGGATGTCCTATATTTGGTGTTGGGCAAATCCTAGGAAATTACACCTTCCCTGTATTAACCTGTGTGAGTAGCTGTCAATTTATTGAGGGGGGAAATTGTCCAGAAATTTGGGGACACATCAAGTACAGAGAACTTGTTATATTTTATGTAAGTATATATGGTTTAATCAAAATAATTCCAATAAAATATTCAAGAAAATAATTTTTTTAAAAAAGTAATTTATTTAGGTAATTCATAGCCTATGAGATACCTGGACAAATGTTATGTGTTATTTTTTATTACTGATTATAAGGTGACCCAGAAAGCCATTATGCTAAGACCTAGCATCACTCAACACGGACAGACATAATCAGAGGCAAATATTTTCAAGTATTTTAATGCACATAAAGTATTTTACAAAAAAAAGTTGTAGTGACCAAAATAAAACTTCCTGTGTGAAGAAAGCATTGATGTTCCTAGAACAATATGTTTTAAACCAAAATAATCTTGCAATAGTAGTATACAAGGCCATGAAGAAATTCGGATGTCTTAAAGGTTACTTATAGTAGAAATGATATCCTCTCCCAAAGGAAAATATGTTCATGCAACATTTACAAAAAATTAAATAAAGGAATAAACACCCACAGAAAATAAAATTCAAAAATTATGCAGAAGCTGTTAGTAATTTCCAGAATTTCGGGGTAGGGAGTAACTAAAATATGTTGTTTTAAAAAATATATTAATTAGGAATATATACTGTTTCAAAGAAGAAGGGAACTGCTTGGAGTTGTGGGTCTGAAACCTGTGGCTCCTTTTTAAAGGGAGGATATAGGATGGAAGAGAAGAAGCCTTAGCTGGTAGTGCTTGAGCAGCGATCAGCAAAATACAACCCATGGGCCAAATCTGGAATGCTACCTGTGGATTTTTTTAAAAATTTTTGTTTTAATATAGCCTGAGAGCTAAGTGTGGTTTCTATATTTTATAAATAGTTGGGGAAAATATCAAAACAAGAATATAATTTCTGACATGTAAAAATCAATAAAATTCAAATTTCACTGTCCTGATATAAAGTTTTATTAGAACAAAGCCACACCCATTTCTAAGTTATTGTCCAAGGCTGCTTTTGGGATAAAATGGCACAGTTGAGTAGCTACACAATCTAAAATATTTACTATCTGGTCCTTTACAGAAAAAGTTTGCAGACTCCTGCTCTAGAGGAAAGAAATGAATGAAAGAAAATGAGGAAACTGATTTAGAGAACACAGAATTGGAGAACAGAGGAGGAGAAGAGAGTATGACGGGTGCAGGTCATGGAGAAGCCAGATAGAAAAACTTTAGAGAAAGGCAGATTATCAGCTTCCTTGGATCACTACACTGATATAAATGCTAGGGGGTGGTGCAGAAAAAAGATCTATTAAGGAAATTTCAATGGGTACAATTCATTGAGCCAGGACCTGGCTGGGACCAATATGGAAGAACATAAAAGTTGATACCAAGCTTATAGCAGAAACAAAAATGAAACCCAGATGGAAAGAAAGAAAGAAGAAAGGGAGGAAGGAAGAGAGGGAGGTAAAAAGAGAGGGAGAGAGGGAGGGAGAGAAAAAGAAGGAAGAAAGCAAAAAGGAAAGAGGGAAGGAGGGAAGGAGGGAGGAGGAAAGAAAAAAGGAAGAAAGGAAGGGAAGGAGGGAGAGAGAAAAGAAAGAAAGAAAGAAAGTTACTAGGAACATAGTTCTTATAACCTTGGATGTAAGAGAGAATTTCCTGAGCAAAACAGGAAAACCCAGAAGTCATAAAATAAAGACTAAAAACTTAAATTCAACCACATATAAATTGAAAACTATTGGACAGCAAAACACACCATAATCAGAGTCAAAAGACAAACCAACAGGCTGGAAGAAATATTTGCAATATGTAACAGCAATTAAAAAAAATCCTAGAAATTAATAATAATAACATTATTATTATATTTTAATGAAAGGCAAAGCAACGAATTTAAAAAAATAGGGCAAGACTGTGTCTGTTTGGAGCAGGAAGCCGGCAGCAGCCCGTGGAAAGGAGAATGTGCCTGGAGAAGGATCCTGCAGCAGTGCTCCAAGGCGAGGCACCAGGGTATTGTGCCTTCTGTGCTGATCCTTCAGCTTGTTGTCTCTAACCAAGGAAGCACTGATTGGGAATTACTCATTCAGAAAATTAAAATCCCACCACCAGCCACGCTGGTCTGAGGCCTGGGGACCTTTGGTCCCACGCAGGGCCAGATATTGCGGCTCCCTGCTGCCGCTGTTCCACCATATGCAACTCTTGCCTGCGTGGGAGTCTTGGGTCTCAGATCCCTCCCTGGCTACATTGTCTCTCACCCAGCACCCAGCACCAAGCTGCCAGTCACTCAGGGAGGCTCTGGGTGTCCGCCCCTCAGACATCGGTCCCATTCCTGGCTGAAGTACACTGTGGGGGGCCCAGGGCCACGCTCACCACTCACTGCCTGCCCATTGGAGCTTTGGAGCTCTGGAGCTCCAGACCCACCCTGGTTGAGTCACTCAGCGCATGACCCCAAGCTTGGGGATCCAGACAAGCGGAGAGAAACGGATCTATGAAAGAGAATCTGCCTCCACCATTCTCCAGGCAGAGATTTCCATTGCCCCTCCCACCTATCAACAACCCCCACCTTGGTTCCTAAGGTAACATCGCTAAACAGGAGAAAAAGCCCCACCCCTATGTTGAATCAGACAAAAGCAACTCCCAGGCAGCCAAACCCAAACTGCAAGTAAATCTAGCTGCCTGCAGTGAAAAACAAAGGGGAGAGGCTGGAGATGAGAGTTGAAGTGACTTTAGTCTCATCTCTTATTTTGACTTACGATTTTATCATTTTGACTATTTGTTTTGATCACCTTTGTTGTTTGCCTTCTGACTTACGCTGTCTCGTGATTTTATTGGTCTGTCT